GTTTGAGCACCCATCAACAAAGATGCTCTAGATATGCCGAAAACATATGTAATGAGGAGGTATGATATAATTTAATGAATTCTGGGGGGAAAAAATTTCTGACAAATTTATGACAGCCTAAACCATGAGACTTTTTAAAGGTAGAGATTAATTGAAAAATTTTGTAATAGCCCAAGTGAAAGTTTTGGAGCACCTATTGGATACTATATGCACAGGTGGGGGTGCCAAATACACTTAAATTTCAGACTTCTGAGCAAGTATTCAATGCATCCATGTGACCAAAAACTATTTGGACCCCCTAAAGCTATTGAAATAAAGACAGAGAAAGATTTGGAGAATCTGAACTAAGGTTATAGTTAAGAGAGAATGAAAAGAACCTTGGATATAATAGACATAATAATGGGGGGGGGGTGTTCTATCAGATTGGCTATGATGGAACCACAATGGATGATTAAGAAATACACTCTGGGATACACATAAAGTGTGATCGCCATTCATGGCCTGTGTAGATTATAAGAGTCCAACTCAGTTTGATATTTCTTACATTTTACCATGTATGATGCTAACATAGCAACGTGTAGAATTCACATCACAATTGTATCTCCCCTTCTGATTATCTTTTGTCTTACTATGAGCCAGACTCAACTAAGAATTCTGTGCTACTTGTTGTGTTCATTTGAAAAAAAATCTTTCCTGTAAATATTTACTTTGAAGTCACAACCAATACTTTGTAAAGGATTTAGGAACCCAGGTAGTAGACGGGAGTTTGTTGGCTGATTAATAAATTAAAATTGTTGTTGTTGTTATTGTTTATACTAATCTCAGGATCATAATTGTAAGGGTATTTACAAGTAACATAGACTTAGGTGAGTTCTGGTCTTCCCCAAGAAGAGTGCAAATGCTTTTTTGTTGCTGTTTTAGTTTTAAATTTCTTCATGTATTCATTTACTATATTCTGGGACTATAGTTTTAGGGTTTTTTGTTTGTTTGTTTCTGGTCATAGGTTTTTCTCTGTGTAGAGTAACACTTCTCAGTTCTGTTTGAAATCGTTAGTTATTCACAAATAGGTATGTATGTATGTGTGTTTACATGCACTTACATAGACACACATGTCACCTTAGGAATGTAATTTGCTATTTCTACACTTGCAACATTCTTCTTCTCTGCTGAACATCTTTTTTTCAGCAGGGAGAGAATAGTTTTTCACTAACAGCATGAGTTTTACTCCACCTACTAAGATTAGTATAACACGAAGCCTGACAATTTAGTTCACAAACTCATCCTAGAAAAAAATGCTACATGCCTCATTGCTGAATATCACTATGGTCACTTTAAAAGTACTACCCTTGGGAAGCTATGCACCAATGCCAGCACCTGTCAAAGCAGTTTTGGAACTCATTTCTGGAATGACCATCAGAGCTGTTGTCATATTACCCTTGATGTCCTGAGTGTCATCAAAATGCCATTCTTTCAATATTTTCTTTATATTTGGGTAAATAAAAAGGTCATTTGGGGCCAGATCAGGTGAGTAGGGAGGATGTTCCCATTGGTTATTTGTTTACTGGCTAAAAACTCCCTCACAGACAGTGTTGTGTGAGCTGGCACATTGTGATACAAGAGCTGCTGTGGGACCATTTTTGTTACACACCTTTCTCATGCCAAGATTTTCAATTAGGATTTTCCTCTTTCTCTATTGATGTTATTCCTCTTTCTCTATTGATGTCTGCTATGCTTCTCATAGTCAGTTGATGAGTTTGACACACAATTCAATGAATTTTTGCAATGTTTTCAGTCAGTTCTGCTTGTGACTGGCCACCCTGACCTTTCTTCATCAGTGATGTTTTCTCTCCCCTCCGAAAAACACTTAATCCATTTGTACAATGTTGTTTTCTTCATGGCCTTATCTCCATAAACTTGGACTAAAATGTTCCTGATTTCACTTCCACTCTTGCCAAGTTTAACAAGAAATTAAATGTGTGTTCATTGCTCCAATTCAAGCTCCAACAGTCTCGTGACAGCACACAAAAACATGCAATAACAATAATGAATGCCAGTCAGCAAGATACTGCCACATGTCAACACAAACACAGCTGAGAGAGACTGATATACCAGCTTATGAAACCTTACTGAGTTGTTTGTACAGTGCTGCCAATATAGTGTGCAAACTTAATTGTCAGACCTTGTACACATAGTCTCACGGATTAAATGTCTGAATATATCCAATCATTGTGTACCCATCTTAACTATACAAAGTTGACCATCTACTTTTAAGCACAGATCCTTACACTAAACTTGCAAGGACACTGAGTTTAGACTTTAAAGCAATTTTCTGCTTGTGAATTTTGGCAGCGATTACAAACCTCGTGATGATCCCAGCTGGGAGGAAATTGTCAGTGATAGGGAGAATTTGGTAAAGTTTAGGGATCCTGAAACAGTATGTATGAATGTGTGTGTGTGTGTGTGTGTGTGTGTGTAGTGCGTGCGGATGCATGTGTGTTGCCGGGAGAGGTAGTGGAAGAGAATGCGTCTGATTGTTGAATGATTAGATAAACAAGCAATAGGAACCTTTTTTCTTTTAAGTTCTTATGCTGTTAGTAATAGGGAACAATCAATAACACCATAATGTAAAATACAACATCAGAATTCAGGTTGAAGTTCACGGTCTGGATTTAATGTGTGTTTTATTTAGAAAAGACGTTTATCCTCTTTCCTGTACCTGGAATATCACAGAGATATTGTATCACCATTCCATGGAAATAGCAATCAGTTGACAGGAATTAGTAAAAATGAATCCTAAGAGCTGGTTCTTTAAATGGAAGTCCTTAGTGTGATTTAACAAAGAAGAAAGGTTTTGATTAAAGACATGATCCATGTACTGCTGATATTTCTTAGGGTCAGCTGGATGTTTCTCTAACATTTCACGCCATCGTCAACAGTAGCATGTAGACAAGTTGTCACAAGATGCTGCCCTATGGGAGCACAAATGAGGGTGAGGGAGCATTAGGAGAATGGCATCAAACTTGGCACAAGGGACTGAAAGCTTTAAAACAACTTATTTCCATCCATCATCTGCACTCATCTCAGGACTTGTGTTCATGCTATGTGTTGTTGAATGTGGTAGGTTATCATAACATAATGGCAAAATGAGACTCTTCTGGTAAGCCATAAAATGCATTGACGGAAACCTCCAAAGCACTAAACTAGCTTAAAATCTGGGCAGACATGTGATAGGGATTAGTTGCATGTAGCTTTCTTTCTCTAAATTCTTCTTTGCAGCAACTCTTGAAGTCCCAACCACACAGGACAGCAGCTCCTATTAAGGAGACAGGTTCTCATTGTACAGAGTGGGGAGTGGTGACGTGGGCTTTATACCAGCCTGCCAGTTTTCATAATCCTGGTGCTGCCAGAGGGTTAGTTAGCTGGGCAACTTCAGGTAAGGTACTTAGCCTTATTCTACCTTAGTTTCCTAATCTGTTCATAGGATTATAAGGGCAGTTGTGAATATGAATTGAGTTACTGTGTAGAGAATATTAAGCATAGTGACTGGTACCTGAGAGGTTCTAAATAATCCAATTGATAATATTCTCATATTTCACCCTTCTTAAATTAGAGGGAGATACATATATAAATAGTAACCTTGTGAAAGACTTAAGAAAATTAAATAATTCACAGTAGTTCAAGAACACACCTTCCCCCATATGCTGGGTAAGCATATGGCACAGCGACCTACTAGATAATTCCATACTGAAAAAAAATTAAATTATAACTTATGCCAGAAATTTATTTTTTTATTACTTAATCCTGACAAAAAGCTGTAGAAATCAAAGGATAAATCAAGTACTTAAGTACCCAGAGGTAGGGTATAAACACAAATGTTACAATGTAGTGGAAGGATCATGTACAGAAATCCACGGCACACAAATCTGTATCCTTCACAGCTACCACAGACGGAAGAAAAACCACTGTGCCCACACCTTCCTACGTTTTTTTCATATTTTGTATTTTTGATCATGTTACATTTTAATAAATGCAAACATAGTTCTGTAGGGCAGTGAAAATCCTTGTTATTTGGTAAATTAGGCTTTAACATTAGCACTAGTCCAAAGTCCAGCATGATAGCAGTTATTGGTAGTGAAAGATTGTTGAAATGACAGATTGAGTAGTGCGTTTCTCAGGTTATGAAGTTCAGGAAAATGTGTAATTATGTCTGAGTTTCCTAAGGTTCCTCTGTTCAACATAATGTTCTGACATACAGCAGGGACAGTTCCAGATATGAAATGCAAATCAGTAGGTGCTGGCCCTGCTGCCGAGTCTGGGGTTAATCATGCAAATCTAATGCAGTTCTTGGTATTTTAGTTGAAGTCCCATACACGTATTGATTTTAAAATTCCTACTTTAGAGAGCAGTGCCATTTTTTTCAGCTTCAAATTTTAAAATACAGAACAGGATCTAAAGACAGATTTGGTGACTGGACATCTATCTATACTTGTTAATCATGGAAAGCAGTGTGAGTTGGGGGTCAGGGTGGGGAAGAGTAAGACAAGGGTACCCTTAAAGAATGTGGGGGTTTCTAGGCAATTTAAATAATATATTAGAACAAAATTGACACATGCTCTATAGAAAGCTCCTTTGCTTGGAATAATATCAAATCAACTAATTATACATGTTTACTGAATGCCTACTCTGTTCAAAGATGATTAACACTGGCAAGGACAAACCAAACCAAAAATAACACTACAACAAATCCCTAACTTTGGGGATGATAGAAAATCCCTTTGGAAATGAGACTGTTTACAGGAAGAAATGAAATTGTCTTGCTCACAAGTACAAGCTGACACATTCTAATAGCCTTTCTGCTGTGCACAATGAGCGTTCAGCTTATCTTTCCAAAAACAATAAAATTTCATGTACTGCTGCCTGACATAAGAATTATTTTTACATATCTCCATATCGCTGACTCTCTTGTAAGTTAATCTCATCTCTCATGAATTTTTCACCAGCTTCACTCTGATGTTGATAAAGGAGATGGTTCCATCAAATACATCTTGTCAGGTGAAGGGGCAAGTTCCATTTTCATTATTGATGAGAACACTGGGGATATTCATGCTACCAAGAGACTGGATCGTGAGGAGCAGGCCTACTATACGCTCCGAGCTCAAGCGCTGGACAGAGTCACCAACAAACCCGTGGAGCCCGAGTCGGAGTTCGTCATCAAAATTCAGGATATCAATGACAATGAACCCAAATTTTTGGATGGCCCATACACGGCAGGAGTTCCCGAAATGTCTCCTGTGGGTAAGTAAAGAATGCACTGCTTTTGTGGTTTGTGTCTGACTTTAGGAGGTTTGTATTTAAAATTAAATTGTCATGATGTACTGAGGGAAAAGAAAAAAAAAACTAAGCATATTAGCATGCATACAGTAATTGTCAGTAAGAGTGAAGGGAAATTTTGAAACATGTTAGAAACCACTTTCTATTAACTTAAGACATTATTTTGCTTACACAGAAAATTAGGAAACTTTTTCTTTCATATAACTATCTGTTTCTTTTAGAAATTACTTAGCTCATACATTTTCTTTCAACCTAATATTCATTTATGTTTTTAAATGATTACAAAGATGCCTAAGTAGGTAAAAAAACCGAAATGCTTCTAGTTTAAAGGCAACAAAGATCTTATTCTTTTTTTATAAAGATATTAGGATAACAGTTCACTGTTCTAAGCATTGATTTATCAAGGTCAGCAGTATCAGTAGGTAGCCAAGCTAACATCTGGATCAGATGGTCTATTTATTTGTATTAAATGTGCTTAAATCCACAAGTGTGTATCCAAATGTCACCACTAGTCTTTTTGTAATTTCTCCAGAGACTTCATAGTACATTTATAACAATAGTAAGGTGATACCCATTTGGAGAGATATTAAAAAAATAGGCCATTGCTTTATTAAACTCTGGTGTGGACATGTGCTCTTTGAGCTATGGTCGCCTCCAGGTTTTCCTAAGTTTTGGCCCCCTCCCCTACCTTGGGGAGGTGAATCTCTTCGCTCTCTAATTTACTTTCTAAATAAACTATATTTTATAATCTAAAATAAAAACAAATGATGAAAGCTTTTTTTTACAGGAAGACCCCTTGGTATTGCTCCGTTACTAGAAAAAATGGCAAATAGGACACTTCTAGTGTGTACTTTATTTATATTAACTAACATATATGCTCTTTTAAATGTAATTTGTTGAAGTATTTCTAAAATAACTTACAACAAGTATGCAATTTAAATGTGGACAATCTTACAAAATAATTTTTAAAATGGGACTGAACAAGAGACAATTCGACTTATATATTATTTGTTTTTAATATCGAAGTAGGAAGTTTGTTTAAAATAATGACAAAACTTGTATTTTAACATGTGGGCACTTTAGTCAATAGATTTATTTTAGATAAAGGATATTTTATTCATTCAGTCATTCAGTCACCACATTTACTACACTGAAGCATGGAGTTGTGAAGATGTATATTGTGTGTGCCCTTGAAGGGATTATAATTTAGTGGCCCTAAATTTCTGTTCCTATAAGATGAGAGAGGGAAAATTATTTGGGGAACAATGGCTCCAGGTGTCTAAGGGAATACAAACTGACAGTGAGACAGAAGACTCAATGCTAGGGTTTGTAGAGAACTCTTAGCCACAGTAATAGAATCTTACTATCGTTAGCACATATTGCAAGCATTTCTATGACCAAACAAACTAATTTTACTTGCTCAGTACTACCTACACTTGCAAAGTGCTTCGTGGCTTAACAACAACAGCAAAATCAGTTACTATAATAAGATTTTGGTGGTTTTAGAGAAAAGAGAGAGAACATTTCTCTCCCCAAATTACTAATGTTTAGCAAAACAGGAATTCACTTCAACCCACTGCTTCTAGTTCTCATGGCCATTTTGGAATATTCTTCATTGATTTCCTAGTGTTTTCCTTTCCTACACAGTAGGTCACTATGCAAGTGGAAATATGTGTTTTAGAAGCTAACTCATGCATGGTAGTCTATTTTGATGCTACTCTCATATCAAATAGCATGATTGTTACGCACACATGTAAGTTACTCACTTGGCCAATTCAAATAGGTTCAGAATTTTTTTAGAAGACTACTTCAAATGTCTTCAGTATTTACTTGATGTTAAGCCAGACCTCTGAGTCAATATATACATGTGAGTGTGGAACCATGTATATCTACACTACATTTAAAAAAGCTATGTGGATGTATAGTGCGTATCAGAACACTATAATTTATCAAAGTGTTTAATTCTAACCAAAAGTAATAGTTGCTATATAGTATGGAATATATAATACATGCTTTCAGTGTTTAATATTCAAAGATCTTTATGTCTATTGGATGTTAAGTAATGATTGAATTTTAAATACGCTAGTAAGTCCTTAGGATAGTTTATTCATTGCCAGAAGAGCATACATATGCATGGAAACTTTAAATTTATATGTGAATGTCTGTGTCTCTACTAGTGTATTGTTAAATCAGTGAACACTTCAGAAAAAAAGTATTGTACAGAACCAAATTCTTGCTTAAAATTATATGTTTTCTTGTAAAATGAAGTAGAAAATAGTAATTAAACATATCATTTAATGAATATTGCTTAGAGAAACTAGAGACAGTACATGTAATTTATTAGAACATTTAAAAATATTCAAAATTTGGCCAGGCATAGTGGTTCATGTCTTTAATCTCACCACTTTGGGAGGATGAGGAGAGAAAATTCCCTGAACCCATTAGTTTGAGACCAGCCTGGGCAACATCATGAGACCTCATCTCCACAATAAATAAAAAAATTAGCCGAGCTTGGTGACGCTCATCTATAATTCCAGCTACTTGGAGGACTAAGGTAGTAGTATTGCCTGAGTCCAGCAGGTCAAGGCAGCAATAAGCCATGACAGTGCCACTGCACTCCAGCCTGAGTGACACAGTAAGACTCTGCAAAAAAATTAATTCTTAAAAATATTTAAAAATATACCTAATTTACCATCTTAGTCTTATCAGTCATTCACAAGCACAATTACCTAAGCATATAAAAAAAAACTTAAATATATTTTTGTAAATGGTGCCATGCATGTAACTTCATAATTTCTACCCAATTTTAAAGAAAATGGAATTGGTAAAGGAAATCAGTATGAAAAATGGAATAGATTTGTAGCAAAATGGACATCAAAGTGTTGTTTAAGGCATTTAGAAAGAGAAATAGGAAGTAGGAATACATATAAAATATATATTAGATTTAAATGCTGCATTCAGGAAATTATTATAAATAAACTAGGACCTTAGCTGGGCGTGGTAGCGTGCGCCTGTAGTTCCAGCTACTTGGAAGGCTGAGGCGGAAGGATCGCCGGAGCCCAGCAGGTCGAGGCTGCAGTGGCCAGGAGCCGCCACTGTAGTCCAGTCTGGGTGACAGAGTGAGACTCCAACTCAGAAAAATAAAAAAATAAAAAAATAAAACTAGGACTTTAAAGAATACATAAAGAGACTGGGCACACTGGCTCATACCTGTAATCCCAGCCCTTTGGGAGGCCTAGATGGGAGAATTACTTTAGCTCAAGAGTTTGAGATCAGCTTGGGTACATAGGGTGATCTTGTCTCTACAAAAAAAAAAATTAATTAGTCAAACATGGTAGCATGTGGCTACATTCGCAGCTATTCAGGAAGCTATGGCAGAAAAATTGCCTGAGCCAAGGAGTTGGAGATTGCAGTGAGCCATGCTCATGTCACTACTCTCCAGCCTAGGTGATAGTAAGGCCCCAACTCAAGAAAAAAAAAAAAAATGCATGAAGAAAGGGGATTGTCTCATATCTATCAGATAGGACATGAATTATATAATAATCTATAACTAATATTTTGAAAATTACTTTTCAAATGGAAATAAAAAGATCAGATCAGACTAAATGCTTTCCATGTTTAATACATAAATACATAGTAAAATAAAGAAATTATTTGACATTTTATGTGTGGTATTGAAAAACAACTAGTAATGCAATTTTTAAAGTTGACATGAAATTTCTTCTTTGGGAGGGCTTGGTTTACATTTTTATTTTCTGTTTTGTTTTTTAATCAATTAGTAGAAGAAAAAAAAAAAAAAGAAAATTCTCAAAGAGGTAGGGTAGCCAACTAATATCCAGTTGGATGGGTCAAATATTCTTTGTACAATAAACTAATGAAATTTCAGTTTCTGTTCCGCTTTTCTTAACAACAGAGAGATATCTGCAATGATGTTAGCATGCTGCCTTCTGGTCAGTGATTGAATCTTCTAGGGACTGCTTTTGATTAAAACTTGTTTTCTGAGCCTGAAAGACGAGATACCTCATTTCTGAGTATAACCCAGTCAAACATGCATCATCATTTTTTTTTTTTTTTTGTCAAAATATTTTCATATCTCTTAAACATTTCCAGGGTTTTATCATCTCTTTGGGGTTTACTTATAAACTATACTGTATCAATTTTTATGTACCTTGAAAAAAGATAAATGAAAAATTGGAAATGAGTCTAATGTGGAATCTACAACATTTTGTGAGTTCCTTTGTATTGTGGCATTTGGAAGTTTTTAATTCAGTGGTTTTGGGATTGGCATCTAGGGACCTCAGTAGTACAAGTAACAGCAACAGATGCTGACGATCCTACATATGGCAACAGCGCCAGAGTGGTCTACAGTATTCTGCAAGGACAGCCATACTTCTCAGTGGAACCAAAGACAGGTAAGCATTGAAATGTGACAGTCTTGTAAAGGCATCACTTATATGTTTACTTAAAAGTAAAGTTAGTTAAAGTTAGTTATTTTTATTAAATATAGTTGGCACTAACAGACACTATTTTTATTGTGCTTCTTTTATTATGTTTACTTTGATAATAAGCAGCCTATTATTTAGAGGCATTATTACCCTGAAAATAATTTTGTATTAATTAGTATCCTAATACGATTTAAAAGAATAGTATATATTTTTAAAAAATTTCAGCTACTACCTCCCTGCTTAAGAAAATTTGGATTATTTATCTTTATGCTTTATCTGTGATTTGCTTTCTTTAGAAATTTGCATAGAAAATTATACATGATAGAATTTAAATCCCAAGCAGAAACTTCTCTACCACATAGTAGAATAGGTAGTAGGTTCAGTTTATTCTTCCAGATATTGGTTTTCTCAGAGAGTGTAGTTTAAGTATAACAGTTATGATGATTACCCGATAAAAACTAAATCAGAATTTCTTTTTTTTTAATTTTAGGGGAATATTTTTTAACTATGAGTTGTCAGGTTGTATTTGTGAATATTTGTGTGGTCGGTTTCTTTTATTTTGCTTTAAAATGGAAATAGTTTACATTGAAACTATAACATGGAGTATTTTTATTGTGGTTATAACATGATATTTTAATCTATGTGTTTTCTCTGGCTATGTGTGTGTAGGGAGGGCTGGGTGAATGGAGAGTATTGTTAGGTATGTACCATTGATTTTTTTCATCACCATAAAACTCTAAGATTTCTCTTTCTCAAAGTTGTTTTGCCTTTATTCTTCCAAAATATAAACTTATAATTATGAATATTTGATGGTACCTATGATTTTATATGAATAATTTAATGCCATTGACCCTATATTTTTACAAAAATGGCAATATTCATCCATTCTCAAATCACCGAGGAGATAAATATTTTAAATGTCTTTTGGGAATGACAGTCGTAATGCACATGCACAGAGAAGCAAATATGATTCCAGCTCATTCATTCAAACTTTCATGGAGACTGTAATGTGTATTTTATTCAAATGTAGTCATGGAGCTTGGAAACCACCTGGAAAGTCTAATAGAGAGGAGGCAGTCGTGATGAAGCAAGTATTGAATAAGAAATAAATGGAAGTCTTTGATTTGTAATATGAGTCATGTGAATATAGAAGGTGCTCATGTTTGATTTAATGATAGATCTGAGAAACCCAAATTCAAACGCTCACCCCTTCCCTTATATGTCTGCTCTTTGCAACTCAAAAAGACTTTGACATGTTTCTGACATTTTTCTCACAACTTATACACTTCTACCTTATATAACCTGCCCCAAAATAGCTTGTATTAATCCAAAGGATTAAATATTTGCTGCTACTAATGATTGGCTTGTGGTTTTAGCTTTGCTGCAGGATAACAGGATTTTCACACAACCCTGTAGAGTAAAACCTCAATACTGGACAATGGTATCTGTCACAGGATTACATTATTAGTACTTCAGACTTAATTTCAGAATTGAAAGGATCGTGTATTACAGAAGATGAAAGTTTAGTTTAATTTTGTTAATTCTCTAATTATGGTAATCATTGGGACTTCACTTTCTACAGCCTTTAGTGCAGAGATACTCTGAGCAATTTTGTCCTCCCTGTTAATTCATACCATGCAGAATACTTTTTTGCAAGGAAAAATAAATTACATTTTTCTGACCAAAAATGAGATTGTTTCAGTTTTCAAGGGTATGGAATGCTGTAAGGTTTCAGTTAGTCTTCCTTACTTAGTGTCTGTCTGATTCTTACCTATGTGAGCAATAACATTATTTTCACTTCAAATCTTAAGTTTTGAGGGAAGAAAGTAAAATTTTGACAGAAAAAAATGTTGAAAATATATTGAATAGAGATAATGTAAAAACTTACCCAGGCTATTGCTACTAGTTACATTTCTATACATTTGTTTAACTTTTAAGAAAGTAGCTTGGTTAAAATCTCCAAGCATAAATTCTGTCTCTAGGCCTATTAACAGGCCAAGTGACTAGAAGATAGCTGTATTTTCTATCTAAATTTCTTTTTCCAAATCTAAATTGTGAATAGTTGCAAAAGCCAATGTGAACAATGTACCTCAACAAGCAAATAGCATGGCACTAAAAACGGGATAAAGCAGCATGAAAAGAACTGAGATGTTTCTCATTCCCTGTTTTCACAATGTCTGCAAACATACTGGGAGACAAGATTATTCTAAGGTAACCTTATCTATTCTGTAACCTGTAAGCAGATAGATCCCACTTGGAGATTTGTTTGGCATGTGACAGGACTGGCTACATCATTTGCAGTTCAAAAGGAAAATATGGGCCTCTTGTTCTAAGGATATCAAGACATCATCAACAGAGCCTTAAACCAAGCATGGCTTCAGAATGACAATACAAGTCACATGGCCATGAAAGGAACCTGGGAAAATAAATTGAATATTGAACGTTGCTTGTCATTTAGAAGACATAAGAAATGGGATGGGCCAGGCTCAGTGGATCAGCCTGTAATCCCAGCACTTTGGGAGGCCGAAGTGTGTGGATAGCTTGAGCCTGCAGGTTCGAGACCAGCCTGGGAAACTTGGCGAGACCTCATCTCTATAATAATAATAATAATAATAATAATAATAATAATAATAAGCCGAGCTCGGTGGCTCAGCCTGTAATCCCGCGCCTTTGGGAGGCTGAGGTGAGTGGATTGCCCGAGCCCGTGGGTTCGAGACCCGCCTGGGCAGCGAGACCTCATCTCTACAATAAATCAAAAAATCAGCCGGGCGTGGTAACGCGCGCCTGTAATTCCGGCTACTTGGAAGGCTGAGGCGGAAGGATCGCTGGAGCACAGCAGGTCGAGGCTGCGGTGGCCGTGAGTTGCCACTGCACTCCAGTCTGGGTGACAGAGTGAGACTCCAACTCAAAAATAATAATAATAATAATAATAATAATAATAATAAATTAGCTGGATCGCACGCACCCATAGTTTTGTCTACTTGGAAGACTGAGGTGGAAGGATCGTCAGATCCCAGCAAGTCGAAGCCGGGGTGACTGTGAGTGTGCCACTGCCCTCCAGACTGGGCAATAGAGTGAGACTCCAACTCAAAAAAAAAAAAGAGACATGTGACTATGTGATTATATATTTCATGTATATTTGTTGCATCACGATTTTATGTGAGTAACATCATAACAAATCTGCCTTCCAAAATATGCCCTTCACATGTTCCATTCAGTCATGTGGCTCAAGTTGATGAAGGGCCTTGGCTCCTGTCAAAGCTTGCTGAGAACATCCCTCATAGATTGCAAGATGAGTCCCTTCCTCAGTGACTTTTCATTTCCTGCCCCTGCTAGAATCCTTTGATGTTTCACATGCTTCCAAATTTACTACTTTTGACTCTTGGCCTTTAACGATTCTTTTGTATGCTACACTTACAAAACCCAGACTCCAAATTTAGAAAGAAATATAAACTTTGCAAGAGATTTATATTGTATATGTAAAATCAAATGGACATCCAAACATTTTTATGATCTTAGTTTTATGAATAGTGTTTTTTTTTTCCTTCTATTGTTTTCTCAATAAATCAGCAACATCGTTCTTTCATAGTCAGGGCTATGCATTTCTTTCATATTTGATTAACTACTGATAAATGTCAGCAATAAAAGTACCAAACTTGTTTTTATTGCCTATTTTATTAAAACCACTTACAATTCATATTCCAATGTTTAAACTATTATCATCCAAAGATTTTTTTTAAAGCAGAAAGCAGGTCTTAAACGTGTGCTCATTACAGTCCCTAAGTTCCTTTGAAATTTAACTTTCAAGCATCATGAATATTTATTTTTCTTAAAAGTTGAACTGCTGTGTCCAGAATCTATTTCCTCATGCCTCAGTGTCTATATTCATAAGAAAGAGTGTTGTTTGAATAATACAATACTTCGCAATGTATTAGACACACAATTGGGTTTTTAAAATATAAAGCGGTATATTTTTTCCCAGTGCAACTTAAATCTTAAAGGTGTACACACCTAAGACTGTTTGCCCATCCATTCTCCAATTGCTCTCTAATTTACTTTTAATAAACCTTTTACAGTAAAAGGTTTGGGTTTTTCTTTTTTTAAATTTCAGTGTTACATTACAAAGTGAGTTGTTGAGTTTACTATTCTTGGTGAACTACTCAACCAGGAGTTGAGTTTTCCTAGGAAAAAAGGGGTAGCATGTAGGACGCTGAATAAATTTACAAAAGTGGCCATTGTTATTCAACCGAATGGTATATAGGATAATACTTACTATTCACCTATAATAGCTGACTGCATTGCATAAAATATACAATTGTATCTTTACTAACAAAAGATTATATTGGAATTTTTTCCTGAATATGCACTATATTTCAAAATGCCCTGTAACATAATACTCATAAGGTAAACTGAAGGCTAATATTGATAATAAACATCGCTAAGATATTTTAAAATGTTAATAATGCATACTGACAGAAACTGAATACATAAATACATATTCAGCTCATCACCAGGTATAACTACTATTCCCATTCACAGGTGCATAGTCTCACAAAAATTAGCATTTTTAAATTAGCTATGAAGAAAGCTAAATGTCCAGTTAGTTTTGTTAAAACAAAAGCAAAGCAAACAAACAGACTACGTGGATTTTAAACTATTTTATACTTGTGCACAGATTCTACCATCCCTGTCTCAGTGGTGTTCTCTCAGTTGACTTCTCCCTTCTGGTGATGGCCATACCAAATGACTTTAGTTCATTCATTGTCCTTAATCTCTGACATATACAAAGAGGACCCCACAAAACATAATTTATTTATTAAAAATTGTGCATTTATTTTTACATGTTTAAACTTCAGTCACCATCAGTGTACTCTCCGTTTGATGTGATACACCTTTCAAAATACTTTTTACACTGTTCAAAACAGGTTTTGAACTCAACAATTTTGATGCTTTTTAGTGCTTGCTTCTGCTGTTTTTTGTTTTACCTCTTGCATATCTGCAAAACATTTCCCTAGAGGACATTTTTCATCCAGGGAAACAGAAGAAAAGTCATTCTAGGAGAGATGAGGTGAATAGGGAAGGCGGAACATGAGGGTCATGCTGTCTTTTGGTCAAGAAACTACTGAGCGAACACTCAGTCAGTTGTGAACAAGCATGGTGTAGATCACCCATCATGAAATGGACAAACATGTTGAAAAAAATCTCCAAGCAAAAATTCACTGAAGTCGAGTGCCACCTCTCACAGTGCTAGCTTGCACACTGATGCCAATGGATTTTTAGAACACTTACCAAGCAGGGAAAGCCTGTACTACAAGGGGCCTACCCTCAAAAAATAATTCCAGTTTTTTGGGATCCCCCTCTCATTATAAGTAAATGCAAGCCATGAGAAAGCAAATGCCTTTAATCTCAATTTCTATGGTCTTAGAAATCTTGAGTAGCTGTAGAAAATAAAGGTTGTAATAAAGAGCATGGGGAACAGACAAGGCCTGGGTACTTGGTGAATGCGGATATCCCAGGTCCCAGTCATCATAAGAAAGTATTTCCACAGCTAACAAGATCCCTGAGAAAGTTGGTTTTTCAATATTGAAATTCCTTTTCGTATGTTAGCTCACTCAAAGTAACATCCAAAAACATTGACGTAGTTTAGTGAGAAAAATCTCAGTGGGTTTAACCCTCACTACACTGATACCCACAGCCTGTTACTTGGGTTCATGTGGTTACCTAGACTCCTGCAACTAATTCAAAACCTGAACATACACCACCGATACTCCAGCAATTGTCGGATTCCTTAAACTGTAATCGATTTCAGAAATGGTTCTTATCTGTTACATGTGGTACACAAACCAAATTTTTAAGAAGATTTCAGGTAACTGGATATGCTTTTAAAAAAACTTCTGTGGCCAATAGGACATTACAGAATCATCAGAATATTTTTTCTGGACTTAAATACAGTTTTTGAACATTAGCAATATATGTTTATGTTTTATATGCACAATGCTTTTTTGTGAACAAGGACTATAAATAAATTTTAAAAAACTGAGTTACTAAGTCAGACGATATATGTTCAGAAAAATTCTTACTCAGAAAACATAATATCTGAACTAGAATTTTGTTTAAAGAGATAATGGGTAGATTTTTTTCATCATAAGTAAGTTAAAATTATTAATTGTTGAAATTTGATAATATTGTTACTTTCCATGAAAATCTCACAGAATTGTAGGTATCTAATTAGACAAGACTAGAATTCACCACTTCGGGGATGTGGGTGTTAACAATTTGCTCTGTGTGTGTGTGTGTATATATATATCTATATAGTTATATAATAAGTGACAAAATGCAAATCAAATCAAATGGATGAGAATTCTTTTCTAAATGTAGACAGTTTTTACTTGAAAGCAAAAGTTAGCAAAATTCATACAACTAGAAATATATTCTTATTTAGTGTCCTTACTAAAATTCATTTTTTCCCAGTTATTTTATTCTTGTCAAAAATATGCTTAATAGTTGACACATTTGGAAATTATCTTTCCCACCTGCATTAATTTGCAAACCTTGTGATGATTTCTGCTTTGGAAAATTGTTATTTATAGGATTGCATATAAAGGGACAATTAGATGTGTGAAAAATAAGTGAGTAACTTTGATGACCAGACTTCTACCTTAATGATGCTATATTTCCTTTCAAAAATAATACCACTAAGCAAAACCATGAGAGAATGAGACTGCAATGCATCTTTGGCTGATTAGTTGAGGTGTTTGTGGACTTCTCTCCTTTATAATAAACATACACTGATGATAACTCACAGATATTGATATTGGAAGAAAAATGAGAGATGTATATACATTTAAACATTAAAACTAGAGAAGTAGAAATTCTTTCTAAAAATAACTTATTTAATTAACATTTATTCATAGATGAATGAAATGCGTTTTATGGTCAAGTATATACTCAATTTTAAATGTTCAATTTTTAAAAAGAGGTTCCAAAACGAAAAATATGATTGACAGCAAAAAAAAATAAAAAACAACAATAAACAATAATAAACCAGAAAAAAAAAAAAAGGTGGAGATATGTAAAGTTCCAGAACTCTTAGACAAAGATTATCTATGTTTGATGACAGTCAGTCTTAGGGAGGTTGTATTTGTTTTGTTATAAATTAGAGTTAATAGAAGTATTGAAGGGCAAACATGAACATTTCATAAAATCATTATGACTCTAAAAAGAATATTTTTGTATCAGAATCTTTCAAGTATACCTGATGAGTACTTGACTATTTTTTATTTCGTTGTAATAGTCCAAAAATTAATTATAAAGCATGTAGAGATAACTAAAAGCATTCAATAAGAGTTACTTAAAGTGATCCTGAATTGCTGTGACAAGAGCACCCAACTGCAGTTAGTGTATTAGAACAAGTGAGTAATGTTAAAAAAGACTTAATCAAATAAGTGTAATTTATATGTTTAAAAATATAGATGTGTTGCTGATGTGCATGTGTGTGTGTTGTGTGTTCCTGTTTAAGACTCAGTGTGCTCAAGCACAAATATGGTTGCTAAAGATAGTGTGGGTGTTATTTAACTTGGAAATAGATAATAAATTGATGTTAGGATGAAAGCAAAGAAAAGGAAAAGTTAATTGCTACATATACTGGTGGCTGCCCATTATGTTAGATATAGGGACATTTTGTTTATTTATAAATTTTTATTTCTTTATCCATGCTTCCATGAAACCTAAGATAGTCCTCTATATCCAATATTTAGAAGACCAGATTACAATGTTTTCTCTGTTTTGTGGTATTGTATAAAATGATCATATACTTCTGGTCTTTGCTACACATTAAAATTATTTAAAATAAACAAGCAAAACAACAAAAGGCAATAACTCAAGAGCTACCTGCTACTTATGTCAATGTTCTTTGTTAGTATAAATGCAGTGATTCATGGTGCGTTTACTGAGATTTGAAATTTTACAGGAGTCATCAAGACTGCCCTTCCAAACATGGATAGAGAGGCTAAAGACCAGTATTTGCTTGTTATTCAGGCAAAGGATATGGTTGGTCAAAATGGAGGACTGTCAGGAACTACATCAGTCACTGTGACCCTAACTGATGTCAACGATAACCCACCTCGCTTTCCTCGAAGTAAGCCATTTTGTTAAATGATACAAGTGCTCTAACTTTCCCTGACAGTCTATAAAAAGTATCTTTAAAATACATTTTTTCAAATACTTCTAAAGCAAATCATTCTCTTACTGAACTTCCCCAAAAATGCATTTTATCAGGGGCATGATTTTCATTAAATAATACAGATAGAAGGATATTAAGAAGACTAGAAGCTATCATATATTTATATTACTTCTATCTTAAATATAATATGTTTATTCATATTTTGAATACCAGACAATTATTGATTGTGCTTATATATTGTTCTTCTTTTGTAAGACTTATTTTTTTGTACAATTGTAAATTATAAAATTATAAGATTGCCAGTAATTAATACTCAAATACACTTTGTCAATTCTATACAATAAAAATATTACTGTAGCTGTAAAGCTTAAAACTACAGGTTTTTGGATCAAAGTGGGTTTTGACTTAATTAGGAAAAAGGAAAAAAAAAATTTTCCAGGATGAGGTGTCCTGTTGTAAAAAGCATTTCATCTCACTCCCTTTTGGTTGCTTTATTTTTCTAAGTGTATGTGTTATGTGTTATGTCTTTAGAATGCTCAAGAAAATAGATTGTATAGACTACAGCATCTGTAGTGTCTCTAAAATGATTGTCCAGTAGAAATGGGCTACTAAATGCCCTACCAACAGAACTTAGAAGTTAATTATATCAAATAAGAAAACTTAGCAAATATGTCATTATTTTTTCTTCCAATACTGCTTCTTTAGAATTTTTATTTTTATTTTATGTATTTTGTTAGTATTTATATTATTATACAATAAACATCTCAGTAGCTCCTGGGTACATAAAAAAGTGACCACAAGTTTAGCATTTTTTTAAAAAATGGGCCAATTCTCAATTGTGAACTCTATGACTTATCATGGAGAAGGACAGACTTCTAGAATTAAAAAAAGATATAAGTATCTTTGACTCATTATAAAATTAACTGATGCTTTTTTCTTTAAGCCTGTAATGATAAGAATTGATACTTTGAATTTGAGTAGTTTCAGTTGTCATGCTTTGATAAGAAAGAACACAGGGTTTTTAGGTTATTATAGATATTCTCCTACTTATTAAAGTGAAGAAAGCCAAGGATATGTTATTAAGTTTTTCATTTTTGCTGAGATTTTCTTTACCATTTAATAACTGTTCTAACCTTGAGCAGTTTGAATTTTACTAAGAATACCTCTGGATACATGAAAGAGGTCACTCAAAAATGATAAGCATATGCTATAATCACTTTTTTTAAAAAACGGTAACTATTCACAAACTTTAGAAAATTTCCAACAGTCTCAACCTAAAACATAGTCCCTTTGTATGGATACATTTTCCTTTCTATATTTCTCTCAAAGAGAATCCTTTTTTTTCTCTTCCTAAGAAAGTACAAAAGTACAGCAATTTAACAACCAAAAGAAAATGGGAGAAGGTGCAGACGACAGGGCAAAGTAAATGATTAGAGAAAAATGGGGAAGGAACATAGTGTGCTGAGGCATTTCCTAGTTTCTGAGTGATGGTTCATGAATTCTTCCCCAAACTTTTTGTTTTTTTTTTTAGGTGAGGAATGGTGAAGAGAAGTTTTTACAAAAGTTAAACAAAGTTTTAAAACGTTATTATTCCGTTTTTGTTTCATTTTTTTCCTGTTCAAATTATATTGTTTGTGCTCTTATACCATTGTGTCCCAAATCAGTTCTACATATAACCCACAAAAAATAATTCTTCTCCTTGGTCAGTTTATGAGGTAAAAGAAGACTAATATTGTCTTTCACAGACTTTCTTAGCCAGTTTTCTGAAATTTTCTTAGTAAAAGTTAGCAAATTCCCTCATAAATTATCAGAACCATTTAGGCTTGTATTTGCCCATATGAAACCCAATATATTTTTATTTCTTAATATTTGTATGTGTTATACTATTATATTTGATTGGTTATATTCAATAATTCTATGTTTTTATAATTTTTTCAATTTACTTTTACTATCAAGGATAAGATATTTCTCACCACTAGAGATACAAGAAATATAGAATCTTCTCTTGACTTTCCTCAGATTATTTGTTTCTGCTATCACATGGTGACCATGAGTTAATCATTCTCATCAAATTTCTTAAGGTCATATGAAAATTATCTTTGTTTCACATTGCCTTCGCATGTCTTTTATTTAAAAAAATAAAAACAAATTAAGAAAAGATGATGCAAAACATCGAAGAGTTAAAAATTTTTGGATTATCTTATTTTAAATAATGTTCAATTCTTGTTTTAAATTTCACAGGGTCTTACCAATATAACGTCCCAGAATCATTGCCTGTAGCCTCTGTTGTAGCCAGAATTAAAGCTGCTGATGCAGATATCGGAGCTAATGCTGAAATGGAATACAAAATCGTGGATGGTGATGGATTAGGGATTTTCAAGATTTCTGTTGACAAAGATACACAGGAAGGAATCATTACTATACAAAAGGTAATGTTTTCTTTTTTTCCTCTGAGGATAACATCATAAATTACTGATAAATTATCTGCTGGATGGAAGATTGCACTAGATAAGCTGAATGGTCATATACGACCATTGCCATTTTAATTTTAGTAAGATAAACTATGTATTTATTTTTCGGTGTCAAAATTTTTGGGAACCTTGAATGACATTTGAAGTAACACCCACCAAATCTATTCTTTAAGGAACCTGCAGCCTTTATTCTACACTATAACAATATAGCACACTGGCAAATGTGCTGTTTGAAAGACCTATGTGGAGAAGATAAATGTTTCTTCCTTGACCATTCCACCAAGGCAACTCTAAAACCAACCAAAAACCTTTCTATGAAAACTAGATGGACACTATTGTTTTCTGCATACATGAAAATAGTATATATATAACTGGAAGTAGGAAGCAAAATGTTGAAGAATTGCTACATTACCAATTATTCCTTTCTAAGATGTATAATACTGGAAGGACTTGAAGGTTTCATACGAAAAGAGCATGGAATGTTGTAAAGCCTATTATAATTGCTAAATAAAAGTGCAGCAGAGATAAAAAGTCAGTACAATCCAAACTAAAGGTTATTTGCCATAATATATTTACATTAGTTGTCACTCATAGTTATGAAGAAAAATTAGTCTTTATCTTCTTTTCATTGTATAGACATTACATTTGACAAATATTCAGTCAAAAAATAATAAGCCCAAAATTGTTATCCCAAAATATAACCTTATGATATCAAATATTTGAAGCATTAAAAATATGTCAAAGTCCCTACCCCCAAAGATACTTTTTTTTTTGCCAGTCTAGTAATCCAGGTGTATAACTCTGTAATTAACATTCTTCAATAATTAACATATGTCAATAAAGTTATATTTTAGTTGCTATAGACAAAACATATGTTTGATTTTGAGCCAGTGGGCAAAACATTTCTGCAATTATTTCCAGTGGACAGCTGGTGTTATAGCTCAGCTGGTGACAATCTATATACAAAAGTTTTAATAACTAGAATAGGCCAACTGTTGGTAAAACGTTTTGTTTTGTCGTCTAAAATAAAAAGAATACAATAAGGTACATTACTGCTCAAACATTTCAAAGATTCATCTGAAATCATTCTGTTCATATATTTAAAATTTTAATACATATTTGAGCAATTTTTCCTGAACACATATTTGTATTTTATGTGTTATGATGAAGATAGCATGCGTCTACGATCACCTTTGTAAACAGTTACATAGGATTTCAAAATTTACAGAGTGTAAACAAAGATTATCCCTTGTAAGTGAAAACTATATTTTTGGTTCACCTGAAATTCTTTCTTTTTACATTTTAGTACCATAACTTATAATTAGGAACTTTAGTTTTTGTTTTGTTTTGCTTTTTTTCTTTGAGATATGGCAATCCTTCCTCTCTTGTACCTCAGTTTTCAATGTAAGTCCTTAGATGGAATTAAGTATAGAATTTTTCTTCTATAAAATGCATTACTATGAAGTTACTGTACAGTACAAATAATGAGCATTTTAAGAATACATTTTGTATGACAGATAACCACGCATATAGTTTCTGGCAAGTAGATTGCTTCTTTTGTGGTTCACATTGCCACACTATTAAGATAACATGTTTTAGCTTTTTAAGACTAATTTCCTCTGCTATCTTTATAATATCCTCATATCCATACCCTAAAAAGGGCTGAATGAAGTCAAAGTAATAAAGCATTGTGTGGGGGTGTTAATAGCGCTGCCTGCCACATTCACTTGAGTATTGAAGAGTTAGATAGCACAGTGTTCTTTAGATAGCACAGTGTCCTTTCAACCTTACACTGAGCAGTTCAGACTTGAAATATCTGAGGTTTACTATCTTATATTGAAATGTCTCCTTTGCCAATAATCACAGGCTAATTCCCACAGTTAAGTATGTTTTTCATAAATGTTGCTGATGTGTTGTGGAAAAAAATCAAACCAATGACAACTCTAATTTCTTTTTCTTCTTCTCATTAATTTTTTTCAAAGATTGCATTCAATTAATCCTACTGCTGTCTTGTATAGAAAGTGTTTGTTAATATGTATTATTATTATTGCCAAAAAAGGATATGGACTTATAATCTTGCAACATTTCTTAAAATGGAGCAAAAGCTGTTGCTTTAATTTGTCTGTGAAAAGGCATAGATATTTATTATTTTACTTTTAAAGGCCAAGGTATAAGATTAATACTCTTACTATAATTTGATAAACTTCTAAATTTCAGGGTATATTTTCCACTTTATTCAAGCCATTGTTATTGTGTTTATATAAGTATAGTCTCACATCATTTTAATAATTATGCATGTGCATTTATGTATATAGGCTTATTATCTGCTTATTAAGGGGTAAACTTACCTGTGTTTAAATAGTCAAGGTTAGAGATTAATTTCAGGCTTTATTTTAAAAAAATAAGAAATCAACATTCTTTGAAGAAAACCAATACTAATGTAAATGTCAACATACCTTTGTTCTAATAAAAAAAAACTAAGACTCTGTTCACTTAAAAGTATTTCAGCTTTTGATGATTATAATAGTTATCACAGTAGTGTTCTCAGAATGTGAATGTGAACAATGTTTTCAACTAACGTCATCATAAAGTTTATTTTACTGAGTCCAAGTTACAGATTATGTAACATTTTCTTTACTTCTGTCTTTTTTCAAAGTGTGTTGATTTCTAGATCCATTTCAATGGGTAGAGTTCCATGAAAGAGATGTTTCAGTAATAATATGAGAGAATCTAGTGATTGTAAAAGGAAGGTCGGAGGGAGAATGCAAAGACAAGACTATTGTCTCTAGCTTGAGTAACTAGCTGAACAGTTGTGTTGCTCCTTGAGAATGAGAGTGTGGAAATGATTAGTATGTCTTGGAACATGTTATATTTAATGCACCTCTAATAACCAGGTAACTATGTCTAGGAATTCATGAATAAAGATCTGTAGCTCAAGAAAAAGGCCTAGTGTATAAACTTAGGTTTAGAAATCACAAACACTCCCACAGAGACAAAAAATAAAGGGACTATTGAGAACAGTCATGAAGCATATGTATATAAAGTGATGGGAAGAAGACAGACATTTGTTGGTGAAACTGAAAAATTTAAGTTAGGATAGCAAAGAAAAATTCAAAGAAGAAAATTTGTTTTGTCCTTCTGGAATTGAGATATTTTAAGGAGGCTTAAAAATCAACTGATCAACAAAGCTAATAAACAAATTTTCATATTTAGATAAGTAAAATAAATTATATATATTATCAATAGAAGGATTGGTAGAATGGAATTGATGGATCCTTACATCTATGTTAGATAGTAAAGACAAGTAATAACAGATAAGGAAAATATTAGAATAGTCAAAGAACTAGAGCTCTTGCCAAATTCAAAGAAATTTTCATGTCCAGATTTGACATCTCCCCCCAGATGGCCAAATATTTGGTAATTTCAAGTCTATTTTGGTTAATTTCTCCCGGATATGCTGCCATCACCTGGCAACAACTGAAGTCACCAACTCTCATTCTCTTCTTCTCCATAGTTGTATCAACTCTCTACTGCTGCTTAATAAGTTATCTCCAAACATAGTGCTTTAAAATAATAATTTTTTAAAAAATTAGCTCATAATTTTGTGAGTCAGCAATTTGGTCTGGGTTTATCAGGGTGATTTTTCTGCTGGTTTCATTTGGGTTCAAACATGTATCAGTGGTCAGCTTGGTAGCTCTGCCTCAAGGGAAGTGACTATCAGCTGAGACAACAAGAGAGACTGGCCATGTGCCTCTCATCATCTTGGGGTTAACCTGGGCTTGCTCCAAGTATGGCAAGAACAGAAGTTGTATGGACTCTTGAGACTGATGTCCATAATTGGTACAACATCATTTCTGCCATATTATATTGATCAAAGCGAGCCAGTCTCGGTGGCTCAGCCTGTAATCCCGCGCTTTGGGAGGCTGAGGTGAGTGGATTGCCTGAGCCCGCGGGATCGAGACCCGCCTGGGCAACTTGGCGAGACCTCATCTCTACAATAAATCAAAAATTAGCCGGACGTGGTAGCGGAGGCCACTGCACTTCAGTCTGGGTGACAGAGTGAGACTCCAACTCAAAATAAATAAATAAATAAATAAATAAATATTGATCAAAGCAAGACACAGAACAGCTCAGATTAAGTGGGTGAGAGGAAAAATCCATGAGAAGAGAGAAGCAATGAAGTATTGTGAACACAGAAAAAGTAGAAAACATATGTTGAATCCTAGTTCTGTTTCAGAGACACTAAATAGCTTTTAGGTTACACTTATATGAGATGGCAAAGGCAATACTGAATCTCAGGTCTATTAACTTCTAGCATCATTCCATTGCCTCTATTAATCTAACTCATAAAGTAATTATATTGATCAAGATCAGTTAAAATTTGCCACTGTTGAAGATTTCCGGGGGGGAAAAAGGCTTAATTGTCTTTGGGTCATCACCTAGATTCAGCTTCCCAGACAATATACAAGACACTCTATGGAAGTAATTGGGTAACTTCCATAGTGCATGCTGGGAAATTGGCGTCAGAATAGTAAAGGAATTGGCCTGAGCTACCGTGTCAAACCAGGTTTTAGATGATGGGCAGAAATGCAGCTACTTGCAAGCCTTTTTTTCCACTTTGTGCTTATAAAATCAAAACAAGTCACTTAAATTTACAATAGGAGATTGCGGTAGACACAATAGTGCTCCTTTCTCACAAAGATACCTATAGAGTCTGCTTATGTTTTGCCTTACTTGGTAAAGCAAATGTTGCAGATTGTAATTAATTAAGTTAGAGTCTTTTATACCTTTGGGCTCAGTATAATCACAAGGATCCTTATAAGAGAAATGCAGGATGAGTCCAAGTTAGATAAAGGAGATACTGTTAACAGAACCAGATGTTGGAGTTACACTCTTTGAAGATGGAAGAAATAACTATGAGACAAGAACACATGCTATCTCCAGAAACTGGAATGAAT